GGGGGGGAGGAAGAAAATGGCAGAACAGAACCAAATTCGATGAAGCAGAACGAATGATCCGGTCAATACAAACATCGGATTAGCTAAAAAAGACAACTAATTTCAATCAAACAGATCAAACCCAGAATAAAAATCCTAGATTTATGCTCATATCAGAAACTGTATCAGAAAAAATGGATAAAAATCAAACCTTTTCTCATGAGAATCACCCCAGAATTGGAAGAAAATAATGATCTTTTTCTTCAAATCGAGCTGCGTACGGCCAACTTTATCCGAGAGAAACAAAACCCCTCTCAGGCATCGTTGAAGCCTTTCTATTAAATATTCTGAAGGCACCAAACACCCAGCAAGGAGTGCACGTAGTTTTCACGCTTCACAATGAAGAAATTAAAAAAAAAAAGGGAATAAAATAATAACATACAAAAAGAGAAAATTTCTTTTTTGAAAAAAATATTACATGGAGCAGAAGAAATAAACTTTTTTGAGAGAGCAAAAACATTGAAATGAAACATTAAAGAGACCAAATGGTCGGCTGCTGATTGGAAAAAGTTGAGTACCGAAAGGCGAAAGGTATCTTTTCAATTTTCAGAGAGTGTGTGCCAAGAATTTAATTTAATTTAATATACGTATATAACTGTAATATTGATCTTATTTAAAAAAATCATCATTATAAATCTAATATAAAAATAGATTCCTTTGTTTTTTTAAAATCTAAAAGATTAGAAAAACAGAATTATTCACCTTATTATAATCTTTGGCGACGTATATTATATAAACGTTTACGAAACTTTTGAAAAATCAAAGATAGCGGATACCTTTGGTCTCGATTAATCTTTAGAAAAGCAAAAGATTCAATGTAAAGATCAACCCTAAAAAAAGGCCTCGTATGAATCATGCTTATCTTTATTTTTTTTTCCTCTAATGTTCATATTTATTATTTAATCATCACCTCATATAAATCTCGTGTTCAAGTAAATTTTCAAATAAGATTAGATTACACCAATCATTACCTATTATTTTAATCAATTTTAAAATATTTTGTAGTCTTAATATATTGGAAATTTTGATATCAGCACTGATTATTACAACTTTTATTAGACAATCACATCAAAATATCTAAAATATTTTATAAATTAGATATTACACAAAAACAATTTTTTTTCAAAAAAAGGAGAATTCAATTTCTATTTAACTGAAGAACGCCCCATTCCTATTTCCTCTGAATCTATGTGTTCTTTTAATAATCGTACTTTTGAATCTAGTACAATTTTTTTAAAAAAAAAATACAAAACTTCCATTATTTAAATACATAATATAATAATTGCGTATTTTTGTTGAACCACTACTAGTGGACAAATAGAGTTTGCAGCCGACCCATTGAAAAAAAAACAGTTTATCATAAGAGCCGACCTTATATTATATCATAAGAGCCCATCATTATAATACAAAATATTTACTGATTTTTCGTACAGTTTAACCATATATTTACCAATTTATTTTTAAAATTTATGAAACTGAAAAAAATAAAATAGTTGGGATTTAAAAACTCACATAACTAAGATTTTAAACGCTACTCTCTAGAATATAGACTCTAATTACTTAACTAATTATTCAATTAATAGTGGGTTTTCATCTTAAATTCAAAAGCTACGGACGAAACGTGAACATCACCATTCTAGATTTTGGGTCAAGTCATTAGACACCGATTTATTTGCCTACCATATTTTTTTCCCTTTTCATATACTTTAACAATAAAGCTTACCATAAAATGCAAGAGTAAGATACTAATTTTCCCCTATGATTTCGCCATTCTTTTCAATGTAAGCATTTTCTAATGTTTATACCGACTTATCTAAGTTACAGATGTCAAATGGATCTTGAACTGGCTCGTCATGGGCTGACTCGCAAATAAACCTTAGCCCGGCTTGGCCGGTCGGCTCATCACGGGCAAACAAACATTTGTCCAGATGCCTAAAAAATGACCCGGTCACGAGCCGGAGCTCGTTTCAACACCCTACTCTACTGTTGAACACATCACTTATCACTTCAAAAGAATCAAAACTGCAAACGCAACGCTGAGAAATGGCGAAACAAAGCCTCAACCTTCAATCACAAACATGAAAATATATCTAGGCGGCATATACACCATATTAGAGATTCAATGGCCAAAACTTTAAAACCCCTTAACACAAACCTATTGTATCTTCAAAATGGGTCCTTAACCTCAAATTCGGTGGCTGAAGCTACAAAAAAACTTCTAACCCATTGACAAAAAGACCCTTTACTACTTAGTACTTACTCTGGTAGATGATCTCCTTGATCATCATATGTGGTTCCTTGATTCGCAGAGTGAAGAACGAGGCCACACCCGTCTGAAGTAAGGTACTACCTTGCAGAAATCCCACACGAAGGAAGATGCCCGACCCTGGTACTGAACTTCTTCGACTGTTTGCGTTCCCGAGTTGTAGGTGAATATGTGCGAGTCGGATCTGATGAAGACAGAGTCCGAGTTTCGATGAATGAACGCGAGGAGCTGTGTCTCTTTAGTCCGTGTGCTGAATCTCGTAGCTAATGTCGGGTTTCTCCTCCACATTAGCTTGAAACTCAGTTTGTATATAATATTCCACTGATAGACGGGTTCGGACAAACCAAATCTCTCCTTTTCGAGCACCCAGATCTCCATGCCCGACTTAGTGCTACACCCGTATTGCAAATGCCCATCCGAAGTCTCACCGAGAGCTTGTTCATCATAGTTGAAAGAGCTCGGGAGTTTTACCAATTCTATGCGTTTCTCTTCGTCATTTGTGTCATAGATGGCTATGTTACCTCCTGCTGCATACCAGTGAACGACGCCATTGATCACTCTCCCGAAAGTCCAAGGACTAAGAGACAAAGGGTGCTGGCAAGACAGTATGGAGAAACTCCACGTGGTTGTTTTCGATGAATAGGTTTCGATGCAAACCGTTTTAGTCTCGTCAAGCCTACACTGGCATTTAGCACGGATCACCTTGTAGCTGATCCCCTCAAAAGGGCACTCCTCGGTTATAAACGCCATACACAATTCTTCAGAGTGAACCCTGGGACGAGGGAGCTGGTGCGATTTCCGTGTATCCGGATCCCACACGTAGTAGGCTTTTGGGTGACGGCCACAGAGAAGAACTCCGTTTGACGAGTCAATGTAATACCCGAGCCTTTTCAACGCTCCAAAGGCTTCCAGGTCATCGCCCTCTCCACTCGTTGACAACAACGGAAGTGCGGCTTCTGAGTGAGGGCGTCGAGCACTGTCTCTGCGTCTCCCAAGGTACAAAGTGTTGCAGATGAAGAAGCCGACGAGGTGAAAACTCGGTTTCCATTTGGTTAAGTAAGCGTGACGGAAATAAGACCCGCATATGACTTGAAGCAATCTCTTTGATACCAGGATAAGCTTGAAGATAGTTTCGGGCGGCAACCGGAGAAGTATATCACACATAATGTCGTCGTTGCTTAAAACTGCATGAACACTGAAATCGGACATGGTCTTCTTCACCTGTCAAAAAGAAAATGTACAAACTTTTTTTGAGCATCTAAAGCAACTCAAACCAAATCCAGAAAGAAAACTAATCGAAGAAGAGAGATCATGAATGATCCAAGAATCGCACAGATACGGGATTCAATATCTAATGGACCAGGCTTCTGACTTTGCAGAAACACTTTACACAACCCAGTAAAATCTACTTCCACGAGGAATATCAAATTCCACTAACTTAAGGTTGTAATAAACTAAAACGTTGCTACAGTTTGTTTCAGCAAAAAGAGAAAGACCAAAAACATAAAAAGGTCCAAGGGGAATTGCAGAGAATCGAATGAAAACAACGTGATCCACAACCGAAGCATACAAATGTACAGAATGAGTAATTCGCTAAAGTATCACATTTTGTGTATCACCGTATGCGAATCCAAGAACAAGACCCGAAATCGCCGAGAAATTTCCGAAAACCTAACCCTAAATTCCAGTAAACCGAGTGACCCATTCGGAGAACGAGCAGGAAAATCAAAACCCGGATGACAAAAAACACACAAACTATATCTGTTGAGACCGCAAGGACGAAATTCCGATAGGAAGAAAGAGAAAGAGAGAGTACCCAGAGAGCGGCAAGGCGTGATGAACAACGAGTGCATCGATCACCTCACCAGAAGAGCCACGTCGTGCGTGGTTTTTAGTTTCTGAAACGCGAACAGTCTTAAAAGCGAATTTTTATAATTTGGGTAAATAAATATTGAAATATATTTATCTGAAATTGGGTAAATAAATGAGATTAGTCCCCCAACTAATCCAACTTTTCTGTCTTTATAATTGATAAATCAAATATATAACCCTAGATTAAATTTCAGGAAGAAGATTTGGGTGGGGATGCGCCAGGCCCTTGCTGGAGTGCAACGCATGGGCGACGCGCGTGAGACCCCGATAGCAAGCTACCGTTATGGACTCACCCCTTTAAAAAATAGAGTTAATATCGTTGTGGGCCGATGGCCCACGTATCAGATATTAAACTGATAAGAACAGATACTACACTTGATCTTAGCCAAAAGGCCGAGAAAGGTATGAGAAGTGTAGTTAACCCCTCTTGCCTTTTATTCACGCCCCTCTTCCCCTGTCCTTCTCCTTTCTGTCGATGTGGGATACTGAGAGATCATCAGCAACTTCTTCCACTTCACAATTTCTTAATTGCATTCACTTTATTTTGTAACATCTTATTTTGTTTTTTTATCTTTATTTATGAATAAAGCACGATTAAAAAATTGAATAATAAAACAGATTTTATTTTTATTAATTTAAATTAGATGAAAAATATTTTGTTGTTGCAATAGGATGATTATAGATCATTATATAAATAAATAAATATTTTAAGATTAGATTTCTATAAATAATAAATATAGTTTTGAATATCAACACGTCAATATTTATTATTGTTATTATTCAATAAATTTATTTAAATTATTATTATTTATTTTATAAAACTTTCTCAAAATAAAAAGCTGTTTTTTCTTAAACAGTAAAATAATAAATTTGTAATAAATTTCAAATATAAAATATATTAGATGAAAGCGATTAGGCATGGGCATTCGGATTGGGTTAATCGGGTTCGGTAAAACCGACTCGATTAATCGGTTATTTTTCGATCGGTTTCTATCATTTTATAACCGATCGGTTCGGATAAATACGCGATCGGTTTCGGTTATTTGAACAAACCGAAATTAAATTAAAATTTAGGGTTTAATATTTTTCCTCCTCTGTCGACATTCATCCGCTTTGAATCCACCCTGCCATTGCCGAAGCCAAGCTCTTCTTCCTCCCTCGAGCTCGACTCGATTCAACTCCCTCCTATCCGTCGCCTGAGCCGGTTCCTTCGTCGCCGACGGTCGCCTCTGTCTGCATCGTCTCTCTCTCTACTGCTGTCGTCGTTGTTCATCTCTCTCTCTCTGCATCTCTCGTCGCCGTTCGTGTCTCTCTCTCCATCTCTCGTTGCCGGCCTCCTCTCTCTCTGCATATCTCTTCGCCGGTCTTCTCTCTCTCTGCATCTCTCGTCGCCGGTCTCCTCTCTCTCTGTACCTCTCGTCGTCGACTCGTCGGTCGCCTCTCTGTCTGGTCTGCCTCGCCTCGGTTCTTCGTCGCCACTCTGTGACTGTGAGTTCCATTCTTCTTCTCCCTCTTATGTGATTTCTTTTTCTCTTTCTGTCGATCTCGTGTTCGTCGTTGTCGGATCTCTGTGATTTTTGTTGTGAGTTCCTGTCGCCAATCGGATCTCGATTGTTAATGTGTGAGAATGGATTTTTTGATACGCAATCAACTGTGAGTGTTGTATTTGGTTAGCAGATGGTGATAATCAACATTTTTATTCTGTCTAAATCGATCGTTAAGATGAAAATCATATTATAGTGTGTTCCTGTCTATATTCGTGTTGTACTTGGTGATAATCATGTATTTTTTTTTGTTAACAGATGGATAACCAAAATTCAGAATTGGTTAAAATTGGAGAATTAGTTGCTGATAAAAAAAAGAACCACACATTAACAATCTTTAGCAGAAATAACGAGAGATTTATTAGCAATTCCATTAACTGTTTGGTTAATAGATATTTATTTTGTTACCGTTTTATTATTTACAAGATTCACAAAAGGACATTTTGTTTGAGAAGGAATATTTTAAGTTTGTTTTGCTATGATATGAGATAATGACATACGAATATGGTTTTTGTTATTTTTTATAAGATAACTGATGGAGCCCTTTTTTAACGAATTTTTATTTGGATAAATCCGAACCTAATTCGAATCAGAACCAAACCAATTAAAATTATATATATCTAATTGGATACGAATATTCTAAATCCAAAATATCCGAATTAACCCACTCTGATTAATCCGAACCGATCCGATTACCCGTCCCTAAAAGCAACGATTTAAAATTTGAAACATTTGAAACGAATATTTTATTATGAATTCAAATCACAAGTTTTTTAATTGTAACAATTTTATTGTTTTTAACTTTTAATAAGATGCTTTTTTTCCTCGAAAAACCCATGTCTTGTCTCAGTGATCGAATAAGACCTAAGTTTTTTCTTCGCTGATCTACGGTTTTTCTTTCTGCTGAAATTGGTCGAATCGCTCTGTGAAACTCAATTGGAGGAGAAGAAGAGAAGGAGAGAGAGATGGGTGCTCAGAGAAAAGGTGCACCTAGGGTTTCAGAGGATGTTGAACTGTCTCGCCAAAATTTGCAGGCCATTCTTCTTGCTGATAGCTTCACCACTAAATTCCGTCCCGTAACCCTAGAACGCCCCAAGGTTCGTGCTTCTGGTACTTAGTCACGTATACATTCGCGCGCAATTAGCTTTTCATAATCGTACCCATATGCTGTATTTCATTTTCAATGTTTCGGTTCGACGAACGGAGCAGTCGAGCTAATCGAGTTCTTTGAAGCTAGTTTTCATATCGAATGTTCTCATATTATATCCTGTTTCTATGCATCGTGTGGAGTCCATGGAGTGTTCTGACGTAATGTGCTTCATTCTCTCAACCGTTTGGTTCAGAATCTTACGTTTTCTTGTATTTGTTTCGAGTTTTGTCGATAAATGGCATTGCTTTGTAATGTTTTTTTTTTTAAATAATTAGTTGAATATGGTCTTGGATACTAGCTCTTATCTTGAAATCTGTTTCGATTCTCGATGATGTTAGTGAATTTTCCCCTGGTTCAAATACATGTATGGGTTTTGCGTGTTCCATCGAGTATCATGAGACAATATGCTTTATTTGTTTAACCATATTTCCAGAATCATATGCATTTGTTTTGTTTTTCAATTTAGACGTTGCCAGGGGACACTGAGACATATTTTTCCCGATGTTCACGAGGAAATAGTTGCAATGTGGCCTTGGAACACTTTTTTGTCACGTTGAAATAACCTTTTCCGAAGGTGCTATTGCCGATAGTCAACATTCCAAAATTGATTATACTTCTATATATCTGTAGATTGCTCGTGTATTATGCTCAACTCACATGATAATATAGTCAGAATCATATGATCTGCTGTATCTCAATCTTGAGATTACTGGTGCATGGATTTGGTAGCTGTATCTTTTGTAATTTTTTGTAGATAATATATTTTTGTCATAATGAATCTTGGCCACTGGTTCCCATGATGAATAATCTCTTCTGAAGGTACTACTGCCGCTGGTGAATGTTCCCATGATTGATTATACTTTGGCATGGCTCGAGTCTGCTGGGGTGGAGGAGGTCTTTGTGTTCTGCTGTGCTCACTCAAAGCAAGTCATTGAGTATTTGGAGAATTCTGAGTGGTACTCCCACCCGGGGTTTTTGGTGCAAACCATAGAGTCACACAATTCTATTAGTGCTGGAGATGCCCTGCGATTCATTTATGATCAACAGACGGTATGTTTTAGGCTTTCTGGATATGTTGAATCTCTAAATTCTCCCTGCTCAGTCTGATCTCTCTGTTGATTTTTCATATTTTGGCTTCAGATACACGGTGACTTTGTTCTTGTTAGTGGGGACACAGTGAGCAATATGCCTCTCACAGACTTGATTCAAGAACACAGGGAGAGAAAGAAAAAGGATGATAAAGCCATCATGACCATGGTTATAAAGCAATCAAAGCCTTCTCTACTCACACACCAATCTAGGCTCGGAACAGATGAACTTTTTATGGTTGTTGATCCATCAACAAAGCAACTTCTTTACTATGAGGACAAGACTGACCAGGGCAAAGGGACAATTTGCATAGATAAATCTTTGCTAATGAATAATCCATCGATTTCTTTATACAACGATAGACAGGTGGGACATACTCTAATATTTTTCTGCTATATCATTGTATCGTGATAGGTTCCATTTTTTTTTAAAATTATCTATTGTCTCGTTTTTTGTCTGATGGAATTTAATTTCCATTTTTCGGTGGTTTTATTGCCCATCTAATCAGATAAAACAAATGAAATTTGTTCATATTTATTCAACCCTTTGTAGTGAAAGTCGAATCTTCTTTTCTGCATCGATGGTTAATGATCAATGCTTCTGGTGTGGGATGTTTCTGTTTACAGGATTGTTACATCGACATCTGTTCTCCTGAGGTGCTCAGTCTCTTCCAAGATAACTTTGATTATCAACACCTACGCCGTCATTTTGTTAAGGGGGTGCTTGTTGATGATGTAAGTCTTTATTGCCTTAATCTTGTATGGCTAAATTTCAGCATAGTTTATTTGAATACGATCTTTTTTATGTATTCATTTGAAGATTCATGTACTTCATCAAAGTTATTCTATTAACTGTTTATTTCATTGTTTTCATGTATAGGTAATTTGCATGATGTTCCATTGATAAAAGGACAAAAGAATTGAACATACTTTTTCTTGTTCATGCTTATAACTTACCATTGGCCTTTGTCCTTCCATATTTTTTATGTTTAAGTCAATGATATGTGGATGCAGATAATGGGATATAAAATTTTCACACATGAAATTCACTCGAGCTATGCGGCTAGGATTGATAACTTCCGAAGCTATGATACTGTAAGCAAAGATATAATTCAGAGGTGGACATACCCATACGTACCCGATATAAACTTCAGTGGATATCGTCCAATTAAGCTTGGGAGACAAGGGATGTATAGGGCATCAGGTGAGTATTATTCAGACATATTATGCTGCATCAAACTAGGGTTTTGGCATACATTGTATGGTTTTAAATATTTTAAGTATAACGTCAACCATTGCCATATCCTCTTCCAGAAGCAATACAATCACGATCTGCTGAAGTTGGACCTTTTACTGTGATTGGTTATGATTCAAAAATTGGGAGTGGAGCGAAAATTTTGAACTCGGTTATTGGAGACAGGTGTTCTATTGGTTCAAATGTATTGATAGAAGGTTCATACATATGGAACAATGTCACCATCGAAGATGGCTGTGAGATAAGGCATGCGATAATATGTGATGGTGTGATAATTAGAGCAGGAGCGGTTCTGCAACCTGGAGTTGTTTTGTCTTACAAGGTTTGTGTCTTGAAAAAACAATTTTCCATTGCTCTCTCAGCTGGATGGAACTTTGATTGACTTTCTGAGATGTTAATAGCCGATGTGCTGAGATGCTTTCTTTGACACTAGGTTGTGATTGGACGAAACTTTGTTGTACCTGCATATTCAAAGATTTCCTTACTTCAGCAGCCAACCGAGGAAGATAGTGATGAAGAATTGGAGTATGCTGACAATAGCAGTGGGACTGCAGATATTTCGTGTAAGTTCTAGTTCTTCCCTCATCTGTTTGCTGTCTGCAGATTGCTGTTGAACATTGTTTTAGCCTTTACCCTGGTAATGCATCCTTAATGCGTGCATCAATGCTCAGTTGTGCTAGAAACATTCATTGAACATTAGCTGTCAGTGGCGTACTGTTATTAGGATTAAAGGGAAAGTATGTGTGCTTACTGGAATGTTTAGTTTCTGGAACAGCAGGTTTGACAAAGTTGAATATTCAAACAGCATCTGAAGCAGCTGAGACGGATTCATGGACAACGTCTGAGGTATAGATGCCCTTTCTCGAAATTTTTCTAGGAGCATAAAATTTTGTTCCGAAGTTCCTTTAGGTTTCCTTTTTGCTTATGGAATGCTTGTCTACAATTGAATTAAAGATGTGCATATTGCTTGGTGTCTCAATTGTTTGTGTGGAATAGATTCCATTCTCATGGAATAGATATGTAAGATAAGAAGCTGTGAGATGCATCTTGAACCTCGATTGAATCTGGTAATTTTGTTAGTATAGCTGTTGAACCGTGTCCCTTTTCCCTGTTCTTTTCTAAGCTACAACTACTAGGCGTGTTGATATATTTAACTAATACTTTAGGAACTCGAATATAGCTACTCCATTAAATTGCTTCTGGTCCATTTCACTTCAAGGTTTAAAGAAGTGACATTGGCTTCAGATACAAGGCTTGATTCCATTCTTGAAAACCATAGGGCAATTCTTCTGTGTTGCAAGATCTGTAGTAATATGATATGCTAGGTCTAGGCCAATGTGGTCCTTTTTTCCATCTGAGTTATTTTTTCTCGATTCTAACAATATTCTCTTTCAGCTCGGTCCGGGTGGGGCAGGCTACATATGGGAAGCCTGTGAGGGGGCTCATGATGAGGAGTGGAAGCATTCTGTTGCACCTATCCCCAAAGATAAACTTGCTGAGATCACTCAGGCCACAGTTGACGATGAAGACATGTTGGCTCAGGATGATGGTGTTCTCCCTCCTTCCGGAGAATTGAAATCGGATGCTGATAGTCTTGCTGATAACGAATATTCCAATGATGACTATAGCATCTTTGAGAAAGAGGTAATCTATGCTTCTTGTCTTAATCGGGTTGTTTGATCTGCATAACATTCTGACAAGGTTATTGATTTTTGTAGGTGGAAGCTACCTTCTTAAGGGCTGTTCAGGAGAACGTCAGAGTGGAACATGTAATTTTAGAGGTGAACTCGTTGCGGTACGGTCATGATGTCCCTTAGATTGCAAGATCTCCTCATATTTGTTATTATAGACTCAATCATGTTATCCTATCTCGTGCTATCTTGTTTCTTTTTCGTGTTACTCTTGCCATGGTTAGATGGGTGCCGAGTCTAGAACTGATTTTCTTCTTTCAACTTTAAAAAAAAAAATAAATCCATGTATCAGGTTGTCATTCAACATGGAAACCGCGGACTGTACTGGAGCAGTATTCTATTCTATGCTGAAAACAGCAATGGATATGCCGCATAACGCTGCTAGTAAGTGGTTTGTTACGATCTTAATTTCGAATGACGAATTGCATGCATTTGTCTTAATCGAGTCTCGTGGTTTGGCATAACTTTTTAGCAATCGACAAATGAACTCTTCTTCTGATACCATGTGCTGCGACTGTTCTGTCCATCAGATGAACTAAAAAGAAATGCAGAAAGTGTCATTACGAGGTGGAAAGGGCTTATCGGGAACTATGTAAAGCAAATCGATGAGCAGGTATGTGTCAACACACATTTATCAAACACTAAACACACCACTCATTTCTCCAAATCTTCTCTCGGACCGAACATTACTTTATTAATCTGGTTTACAAATGGGGGAAACAGTTTCCAGTCGTGCCACCGAGGCTAAACTGATGTGTACGATTCTTGTGGCAACAGATTGAAGTGATAATGAAATTCGAAGAGATGTGTCAGGAATCAGCAAAGGAATTTGCTCCACTGTTTACCCAGGTACGAATGACATGTAGAAATCATGTTTCCGACTCGTTAATGGTTTTATCATGTTTTTCTATTGATTAATGGGTCGTTATCTAACCTAAACGTGTGTAATGGTCTTTCCCCACAGATTATGCATTTTCTTTACGACAATGATGTCCTTGAAGAAGACGCCATCTTGAAGTGGGCCGAAGAAAAAGCAGGCGCCGATGAATCCGACAAAGTTTTTCTGAAGCAAGCTGACAAATTCATTCAGGTAAACAACACATCTATGCTCGATCTTATTACACGAGCTCTCTCGTCTAACGGGTTTGTCTGAAATCTATTTGCTTCAGTGGCTCAAGGAGGCAGAGGAGGAGGAAGATGAGGATGACGACTGAAGGAGAAATAAAACGATGATCTGACAAACACCACAAGTAAGTACATATGAATGAATTGATCTCCAGGAAATTTTCAAGCTGAATTTGATGCGTCTGACATCAGAAGGTATAATCTTTTGGTTACATTTTATGTTTTAAAAAAAAAATGAAAAATCGAAACATAACAATTTCAGTTTATTATATGTCTCTTTTCGCGGCGGTTTCCTCATGTATTATTAGTTTCATGCCACAGATTCTCCAGATTTTGATAACTCAAGAGTGAGAAACTATGTGGAATAAGTTCCATAACCAGATTTTTCTTGTACAATGTCTATATGTTAGCGTGTGTTCGAACTCTGGTCAGGGGAACATATGTACGCATACAATACAATGTCTACGTATACAGGAGGTTGACTAAACCACATAATCTAAATGTATTTGTTAAAAAATTGTAGGGGTGAGCAAATTAGATTTTTTCTTAATTTGGATTTGGATTTGGATTAGGAGTTGGCGTTAAATTAGATTTGGTTAGTTTGTGGTTTTGTCCTCCTTGAGTTTAGGAGTCGCATTACATTGATGTCCAAAACTGTTACAGATAGATAAATATGGACTTAGTGTCACACTACCAAAATAGAAAACAAAACGAAAACTTCACTAATTCAATGACATTTCTCCCACATTAGTAGACTCGTAGATAATAAATGCAATTATATTAGAATAATTTTATTAAAATCGAACCAGGTATGTCAAACGATAATACCCATAATCTTATCTTTAATTTTTTATTGATTGAATATTATCGAATAAATTTGAATTTAACACCGCTAAATAAATTCAATTCGATTCCACCTTCTTAAGGGAAAATAATCCGGATTTGAATACAATGAAATAAAATATAGAATAACAAAGTAATATGAACTGAAAACAAGTTTTAAACCGAATAAAATGCAAATCAAACTTACACCTAAAGCCAAAACTGGTCACTCTCAATTTCAATCGAACCGAAGTTATAAATCAATTTAAACCGACAATTTGCCCGGTTTACCATTGTCAAGAAGCTTGCGCTGGAACACGAAAGGCAGAGGCCAAGCCGAAGATAGAGTCAAATGGTAATCTGTTCTTTGCCCTTTTGATTACTTTGTTTGTCTCTGCTTTTGCTTTGACTGGGCTTTAGGATCAGAACTCGCTGATGTTTGATTTCATTCCAGGACTCTTGAAATGATGTGTTATTGTCTTCGGCATTTTCTCTCTCGCCGTCGAATTTCTCAGGTACATCTCTGTTGTTATGGCGCCTATATTCATCGATTCTACGGAATTTTCTGAAATTTTTTCGAATGGGTCTGTCTGTTTGTGTCTGTCCGTGTATACATATACATTTATGTGTAATGTGTATTTGGAACATGAAGTTTCGAATCAACGTGATTGTGAAATAGCATACTGGTCATATCCCATCTTTGGAATAGGTTAAAGAAGAAAGCTAACGAAGGAAATCCTTATTTTCGTGGATTCCAAGATAAAGTTTGTCCGGTGTTGTGTATGAACATGCCTTGATCTTGTAATGAACTTATGGGGCTCTCTTACCATAGTTTTCTTCTCGCCCTGAGATTACTCACCCAGAGGCTCTTGCACATTGAGGCATGTTAACGGTTAAGAGATGCGGTAGCTAGATTCATGGATGTCGTTCATGAATCATGGTATATTACAGACATCAAGTACACTATTTATGTTGAATATCAGCAAAGAGTAGGATCTGCTTGTTGAATTTTATTCTGTTACTTAAATACAGATCTGCCAGGATGGAGGAAGAGGACTATTTTTTACCAAATGTTGATGTTTAAATAAACACTCATGTTGCTGTAGCTATCTAGTAGACAGAGCTATCAGATACTTGCAATGAACTTATCTTGCATTGCCAATCATGATATATATATTTTTTACGAATCTAAGGTTTTATCTAGATTTCTTGTTGTGATTTAACAGGAGGAGCTCTATGATTCTTGTTGTTAGATGAATCCATCATTATGACAACAGGAAGACAGCAAATGCTAAGGGGGCGGGAGAGCTTGATTCGATTGATTGGTAAACGCCGGCGCGTTCTTCCAAACCGGAGCCATCTCCTCTCCGTCCCTACTCCAGTAATTTTTCTTCTCCCCCAAGTTTTCCTTTATCTTTATAGTATTTGTATGCTAAGTGCACAACCTCTTTCTGTTAGAACTCCTTGAATCTCGAGGTCGACGAAAATGGCATCCTTATCTCTGTTGCTGCTATTGAGAAAGCGATGGATATTATCCCCAGAGATGAGGATTTGACTTGCCCTGTGTGTATGAATAAACTTTCTGGTGGTGATCACATGATCAACCTCCATCTGGGTATTCCCTGTTTCCCTTGGACCCTTGGATTTTGATTTCCATCCCTCTTGATGAATCTATTCATATTTCCTACTGGGTTCCAGATTTGTGTCTCTCCAGGGGGACCAAACGCAAGTTAACTCAGACCACTCTTTTTCAGTCCAAGTTGTGGTCAGCTCCGAAAGTTAAATGTCACTCTGACAACGATGTAAAACCCACCCAACCCGAATACAATCCTGAACAGGAAGTCAATTTTGGTGTTTCGGATTTATGTGAACAGCAACAGTTAGCTGAAGCAGCTGTCGAGCATGATGATTCGTGTTCTAGTGACTCGATCTGCTGCAAGGTTGATGCTCCATCTTCTCCAAATAATGAGGTGCTTGGAGAGGCAGTGTCTCCTAAAATAGATGACGCACATGGCCTTGTTCTTGATACTTTTATTGTTGGCCGTAAGTTCAGTGATGTGCTGGAGTTAAATATTGGTGCCAAAATATCTCTTCTAAGAGATCCCGATAACATCAAGGATCACAATGCCATCAAGGTTTGCTTTCCTTGAAGCTATCATCTTGTGTAAATTATGGTTTTATTCTCTTGGTTGAAGCATATAACCATGCTTTCTTATCAGGTCCTTTCGGTCGAATTTGAGCCCTCTGAAATGCTTGGATATCTACCTAGAGACATCTCCCATTACCTATCTCCTCTAATCGACAAGTACACCCTTAAGTTTGAGGTTTTTTAATTGCTTTCTGTCTTTTGTCATGCTTTGTTTTATGTGCCCTTTTCCTGGCATTTAGGTCCTGTAGCTTATTACCGTCCATGATGGTAATAACCACTTTGTTGTTGTGATATATGCTGAAAAGGTTAGATCTAGAACACATGAAGCAAAATGTTGAAATGGAAACTCGTCCTTACATGTTTGCAGGGAACTGTAACTTCTACTCCAAACTATTCTTATGAAGTCGTTCCAATCAAAATTCTGTGCCACAAAATGTCATCTAATGATAGGATGAAATGCGAAGATGCTGGAGATTTTAGACCTCTGTGGGACAAAGTCCTTCAGAATGCTGAGTATCAGAAGAAATTTCCGCCTAAAATGCAAAGATACCAGCATAATTTCAACATATTAATACAAGAGGTTCTGAGAAGTTATTCCCACCTATTCACTCCTTGTGAAAAGGCATTGTTGGGTATTTGATGATCATTTCTGTAGACCTTCTTCCAAATTCTTTCTGGAATTGATGGTAAAAAGGATTTAAGTTCGTTCTGTTTTTTTATGTTGGTTGACAGAGTCTTTTCCCTCTCTTTCCGAGGATAGCCAGAGACTTTTTGTTCGTCTTTACATGCGAAAAGGTACCCGTTAAAGTAGGTTTATTTTGTGCATTATCGTGTTTTTGAACTTTTTTGTTTGCCTTCAAGTTGGTGTATAAGGTACTAGCCAAAGTGCTATTTGTCGATGTTGAACAATCAGACTCAATATGTTGAAATCTGTCAATGAATTGGTTAGTACATGGACAACGAGAGGTTTTGGTAGAGCGATATCTAGTCTTCATTGCAATGTGTGCACAACTAAAACTGGTTATTCACGATCTTTTCCTGTATAGGGATAGTCTCACTCTAGATGACTGGGATTTTCAGGTTCCATTTCCAGAAACTTTTCTCTGACAGTAGTTTTGGCAATGCCATATCAGATTCAAAGAAATTGAAGATTTTTTATTTTAAATATCATGATCTCTTTGGTGCATTTATGGACCTGGTTGCAACAAATGACCGCTTACCTGTTCATTTATAGGACCTTGGTTCAGACAATCAAATATTTCATACCCCGAGGTTTCAGATTTGGAACGAGCTCTAAAGGATCTCACTGGTAACGTGACATGGGTGTACACTACACTACACACACACACAGTCAAGATGAATGCACTTGTGCATACACACACTCACACCCTGCACCTTAGATGCTGAAATTTTATATGCCTATAGGTTAAATAATATCCCTATGTTGTGCAGAGAGGGGCTTTATGAGTTTATTTGAGGATGCAAATGCACTAGATGATCAAGACATTAAGGAGATCTTAGATACACTCAACGTCTCTGAGCTTCGTGACATCGTATCTATGAACATGGTTGACCACACCACTCTTTAAGGTGTTTTAATTTACTTGCTGGAAGAATGGAATGTGAAATGACTCTTTTTGTGGTGCTTATTGATATTTCTAGGTCTCCAGACGTAGCTTAAGAAAGAGAGACCTCATTTCATCCCTTTGTTCTTCTTACAGCAATGGAACAAGGTTCTGCTGTTTTTTTTTTCATTGGCCTTTCAGAGCCCTTTCCCTTTATTTTCTTTTTTTTTTTTTCAGCCAAGCTTCCTTTTTTTTTTAATCTCTTTGTTTCATTTGCAGTCCACTTCTAGGAAGTATGATTTTAGAAAGAACAGGGCTATGTGCTAAGATATCATCTGTTGCGGAATCCCTAATATGGCGTATTGAGGTGCGCTGATGTTTCTTCTTCTGTAATGGAAATTAGTTGACTGTAATGCTTTAAAATCAGGGGTGAGAAGTAACTGTGGTTTGTCATGCAGAGGCTTTTCTTCCTTAATGCAGAGCAAGACCTTTCTTCTTTTGTTCTGCTAGATCTGGGGATTGTCAAATATCCGACTTACAACTGCATAGTCTCGGAGCAGATATTTTTGAATCAGACTGATCTTCTTGCATATGAAGAGGTGTTTAGTTGTTGATCTTGATAGAAAGGGCTCAGACATGCTTGTCTTCGATATCTAAAAGCTCTCGTTGCAGGCCATTGAAGTGGCGCAGATTATGGATGAGTCTCTAGATAAAAGTAATGCTGGAACAGTGTTAAAATGCATCTTGATCGCTGACTCTCGCTTATCCCCAAATATGGAGTCCCGTGCTGCATTTACTTGCTTTACGGCGTCGTGGGTTTACTCAAAGGTGGTTCTTTTAGGAATTTCCTTTCTTGAGCACCACAAGAGGCATGTCATATACCATCACCCAGTCTCTTCTCTTTCTTGTTAGATTATACACCCTGGACCTGAAATTTTGAGTTTTCGGACATGTATATCTTATTCAGATACAACCAAGCAGTTTATCTTCTGAGGCGGTTGCTTAATTGTTTCGATTGTGATGGGAGACGGGGGTACTGGACAGTTAGATTGTCGACAGATTTGGAGCACATGGGTCGTCTTAATGAGAGCCTCTCAGTTGCAGAAGATGCGCTATTGGATCCTTGGGTACGTGCTGGTTCTAGAATGGCTTTGCAGAGGCGCATTCTTCGCTTGGCAAAACCTCCAAGACGCTGGAAAACTCCTAGCTTTTCAGATTTCATCAAAACAAAGATCCCTGAGGTGGTCTTTTTGTCTTTCAGGTTTTCAGATTTGGCTGAACTTTGTTAGGAATTTGATGTGAAGGAAAATAAAAGCAGTAAAAATCCACTCAAATCTTCTATTGGTCATAACCCTTTTCGTCTTGAATTTCAGGCTCACATTCTGGGAAGACCCTTGAATTGTGAAGTAGGCATGAAAAACAGGTTCTATGGTGAAGACGGAGAACAATGTGGAGTGGAGCAGCTTGCATTACAGTACTATGCCGGAGAAGGTGGAGGATGGCAGGGAATCCATACAGAGAGCGGCATATGGTTGACCCTTTTCGGACTCCTCATGTGGGACGTTCTATTTTCCGATGTCCCAGATGTTTTCCGCACTAGATTCCAGGTTAATTTGGCTCCTTGTTAGATCTTTCTTGGCCATTTTGTTTATGTGCAGCCCGAAAAATTGAAACTTGTCATCTCCTTATGCAGAATTCTCCTTTGGACTTGGAGACTGAAGCTTTCTACCAAACCCGGAAGAATCAGATAGAGGCTCACCTCGAGAAAGTCATAAACGGAATGGCAGAAGAGATGGTGATCATCTCGTGGGAAGCCCATCAAGGAGAAGCATGCAGAGGAGTGAATTGGGAGAGGTTTTCACTCGAGGAACTGAGAGCTGTGGTGACATGTGCAGGAGGCCCGTGTTTGGCATCGCTATGCCGATATCTGGCTCAAGATTACCGCAGTTGGTCCAGCGGAATGCCCGATCTAGTGATGTGGCGGTTCAAGGAGAATGGGTTTGAAGGTGAAGCCAAGCTGGTGGAAGTAAAAAGTGAGAGAGACAGGTTATCAGAGCAACAAAGAGCTTGCTTGTTGCTCCTAATGGATTGTGGGTTCAGTGTGGAGCTTTGCCATGTCAAAGCCTAGTTGATTCAGCTTCGGTTCAGCTACGGGTCGATTTCAGTCCGGTTATATATGGATTTGGTTATTTAAGTTTTAGAAAAATTATTACTGTTCGATTTTTTTAATAAATTCGATTTTTTTTAAAAAAAATTCACTAAGACGTACATTTTGTTTCATTACTCGTCTATAAGAATTCGATTTTAAATTATTTTTATTCAATTTGATTCTACTTGAGTTTTTTTTAGTAAAATCATATAAATTCTATTTTTATATCGGATTTGGTTTGCTAAGATTGTTTGATATTTGGTTTCCTTATTAACCAAATAAATCAATCCTAGTTTCCTTCTATTTTTTAAGTCTTATTTGAGCCTTTGTGTATATTGATTTATCACTGTTTTGTGATCTAAATTTGCTCTTTTCATTTATAAAATTCAAAGTTGATTTCTCTCTGTCTAGTTTTGGAAATCCGGTTCACGATTTGGTTTGTTTGAGTATAGAAAACCAAATTCAAACCGAAAGAGAGTGTAACCGAGCGTTTTCAAAAGGATGCCTTGTTGAGGATTTCACGGTTGTTTCAGGGATGGCTTATGATTTCATACCAAACTGAAATAGTGTTTTTGGCGGTTGAATTTCTGAGTTTGAATCTATTTTTTCTTGTCCGATGATTCAGTTTGATATGGGTTCCCAAAATCAAAATCAAAATCCAAAGTGGATAACCTAATTAAACCAAATCATTTCAGGAAAAATAAATGGAATCATTTTGTTTACATGAAAAACTCAACCGAACTAAAAATCCGAATTTATGCTCATTGGTTTTGGCAAAAGCGCTGGACATGTATATAATCAAGGAGAAAAAGAAATCCCTAAACCCAAAGGAAAGAAGTCAAGAATCAAACTCTTCCCAAAAACATGGCCGCTATACCCAATCAGCTCCTAGAAGAAATCCTTTCGAATCTTCCCGTCGAATCCCTCCTCAGATTCGTATCCGTCTCGAAACGATGGAGATCGATGATCCGATCTCGGCATCTCGTGGAGAAACACATGACCCGTCACAGATGCCTACCGAGGAGAATCATCTTCTTCGCGTTAAAGGAAAGAAAAGATGATCATGAATACGATATTTATCTCAAGAGTTTCGTCAGAGAAGGTGGAGATGGACCCGCTCTTCGTTCTTACTTTCTCTCCCGTCGTTTTCAACCTCCTCTTCGATTTTCGGGTTCTTGCGATGGATTGGTGTGCTTCAACGATCAGATTTCGGCCTATGTGATTAACCCCGCCACGAGAGAGCTCCGGGAACTTCCTCCGGCGAACTTCCAGGTCAACCCTAGCGACACAACCCCATCAAGTGGGTTTCCTTTCTTTAAATCTCAATGGTTTTAGGTTTCAAAATTTGTTGCGTTGCATGCAAGATACATAGTCTTGGTTAGCTTCGTAACGTATCGATTTTATCTTACTTACGTATAGATCCGATTCGGACAGTAGTAGTTTGCCGGAATTGTCATGTGAAAGAAATCTCTAGAACATCGGTTGGATTCGGGAGAGACAACATCACGCGTACTTACAAAGTGGTCTTGTTATACCGGGAAGGAAATGAAGATGGCTACATCACCAAGTGCGAGGTTTTCTCTCTTGACACTGCCCTTTGGAGACGCATAGATCCGCCTATTCATGGTGTCATCAATCCCACACCGAAACCCATTTACAAAAGCGGATGCCTATACTGGTTCGCGTATATATACGAGGGGCCGGGATGGAAACTGAAAGTGATAGCTTTCGACCTTCACAAAGAGAGTTTCCACATGACGCCAAACCCGGGTTTTCAAGACCACGAATCTTACAAACAGCTCAACATGTTTAACCATGAGGATCGTGATCTCAAGGTGATAACCGTGAGTACGGATCCAGAGGTCCGGAGGGTTTGGACATTATTAGGTCATGATGATAAATGGGAAGACACTACGGAAGCAGAATCGTCGGGGGAAGGAGGAGAAGAGGGACAAAGGCAATGGTGGCTTCGTCAAGAACGTCGCGATGCGTTTCTTCTGCCTGGCCCTGAATTCTTGTCTCTGGCCACCGGCCAAGAAGTGAATGATTACTTCGAAAGTTTGGTTTCAGTTTATCAATGATTGTGCCTTGTTCCTGTGGATATCAATCAAGTTACATAGTTCGATTTTAAGATCCAAATGTTTTTTTAGGTTATTTTTACAGTCGGTCCATCTTCTTAATCATATATATAAAATCCCAAAGCAAAGTTTTTTTTTTTTCAAAAAGGTTTACGGAGAAACTTTAGAACACCAAAGACATTCCAATTCCTAATTAAAGAACACAACAAAAGCACTTGAAAGTCCAAAAGGCATCAGCAGCGATGTCAGCAGCACAAAGGCTGCATCTAAAAAGAAACAAAAAGAAGAAGAAAAAGGGGGACCTTGAATGAATTATAACACTCTGTATAAAATAGTTTACCGAATATTTTCTTCTCTGTTCTATATTCAATATGAAGGTAAAAGAAAAAAGAGTCTACTTTACCCAATATTCCTAAAGACATACCAAATTGAGTCCAAATAAGTTTCAGTGCGAGTGCGAGAGAGGAGGGGCTGTTATGGGTGTAGACGATACCCGACAACGATGCTGATGAACGCCACGGCACATACGAACAGGAGCGGAAACCCGACATGCACTTGTTTGATCACCTTCTTCGTTCTTAGCTCCGCCTGCAAAAAACGTTAACCGTTACCAAACATATTGCGTAGCTGCTCGAGAATAAATATAGGAGCTTTGGATTGAGATCGGAAAAAAGAGGACGTAAAAAGTATGAAACATGAATATAGAGCTGAGCTAAGCAACGCACCAGTTCTTGTTGCAAGCTCTGTCTCTGTTGAGAGCTAAGACTTCGCTCCTCAAGAAGCTTTGAGATGGTTGCGTCGGCCTGCACCCATAATTTTACTCTTCAGACAAGAACGACTATTGTTCAATCGATATGTCATATTTAGAATACCATAATGGGAAAGTGAAGAAGCGATCTGGTAATTTTAGATGCTGAAGCTACAGCCTCATATCCTCTGGGATGTGGATTTTAACTGGGGAGGAGGTAAAATTACAAAGTTCTGTTGTAAAAATTGAAGTTCAAGAGAGAATCGAACCTGCTTTAGCTTGGATTCAAGGGAATTGACCTTCAGCTTCATTTCCTCGATGTCTCGAATCAACTTAAGCTCATCTATGGATTTGATATGTTCAGTCTCTGTGTTCTTTGGTTGAGCAAATTCTCTCTCCTTTGTTATCTTCATATCATCAGGCGCACCAACACTTGTAGCAGCATTTATTTCTCTAGCACTCCTCAAATCCTCAGGTGGACCCACAGGATTTGTCGGAAAATCAACATTAATTCTTGGCTTAATATCCTTTCTGAAATTCGCATCCTCGTGGGACGCTAACGGGTCAAAGTCATTTTCATTTGGTAACTTCGATGCCTCGTAACCACTCCTAACTGGTTTGATGTCATTAGCAAGACCCAAATCGTCCATAAAACTCACAGAACTCTTCTTTGGCGGCTTAAACTCCTTGATGTCATCAGCAATCTTATTTGGTTTTCTCTCTTCATGTCTAACCATCCAAGGCTCCTTAATAATCTCACCGTCCTAACAGCACGTTCATGAAATAAGCCTAATAAGCATACGAAGCTCGCCAATTTCTGGGCATTGCGAGAGAACACATAAAAACAGAACTTTCACATGAGTTTGCTTACATATTGTGGCGGAGCAAGGGTCTCGGGTTGACTATATACTCGATCCTTGAGGATTGAGTCTTCAAATATTGGCCCCTGCTTCAATGTTCCATTAATTGGAGATAATTCAGGTGAGTCAGAGGCCGAAACAAGTGTGACTCTGAGTTTGTTTTCCTCTATGTGCTTGCCTTCCTCTTTGGAAAACTGCCAGAGACAAAACAATTTCACGCGAAAGACCAAAAATGAGTTTCAAGGATATATGACTACAGCCTTTTTTTTCCTGAATGCTTACCATGCTAGCTGTGATGTCTTCATCAGTCGTCCCCGCAGGCACAATAGTACTCTGGATTAAGAACTTATCTTTGCAAACCATATCCAGAGGTGGTTCTTTAAATGCTTGCATAATGACTGCATGAACACCATATATACACTTATTAGGTAAAAAGATTGTGGGCAAATATCTACATGCAGCTTGATTCTGAGGTTGTATCGACGTAAATCACTTAAAAGCATTTTGACATATAATAATTGCTCTATTAAAGTCTATTTGCCCGTTTTAACAACTAATCGAACCTTTGGGAAACACAACCCTAGAAAGATATAAAAAAAGTGGTACTTCAATTTAAGGGCGGCAAAAAGGGGTATAACAACTATGGACAGAATAAAATTTCCATCATTTCTTGCTCTACATAAGGATCATACAACTAGTTCTTTGAGTGGTCTAGAGTAATATCTTCAAGCACACAAACAGAATGCAAGCATGGCCAAAAAAGAAATTAGAAGCCGGCATACCAGTGAATTCACAGGATGAATTTGGTGCAACAGTGCCAACATTTGGTCGGACGCAATACTTCTTCGGGGATGTGGTTTTGACCTACCAAAAGCAAACACTGCAGTTAATTCATGCTCGATCTCCACCGAGATCTTTTTCAGGAGATTTAAACAAATGCAATATTTCGAAGAATAATGTGTTGTATACCTTGAAAGCAACATAGTGATGGGTTGTATTGATAAGTTGAACTGCACAAGAACTCTGCTTCTTCAATTCAACTGCAAATAAGAAATAGAGCCCGTGTTATGGATGAAATATCGTTAGTCTGAAGTACAAAGCATAATTTTTATCTCTATCGTTTCTCTTTTTCTCTGAGCAATCCATAAGATACAATGGCCACAAAGCCATCTCTGAAGAATGACATTACACGCAAATCCAGCAGCATGAATTAATTAAAAAAAATTCAAGCCTCCAAACAATTAAACATCATAACTTCAATATTTCAACTCCTCTTACAGTGTGCACATACCACCAACCATATCAATACAAGATCAAGTGATTTTAGCGTATAACATAATTTGAAATAAAAAAAAATAATTCATATAAAACTCCGTGACCAACTATAATCCACATTAATGTCTCTCTATCGTTCCAAAAATAAGAAGAAGAAAAACGGTTCTCTCCCTCAGATTATCCAGATCTGGCTTTTACTGTACTAGTTATTGCGGATTGGAGACAAATTATCCCAGTGAATCATAATGACGACCTTTCAGTCATTTTTATGCTAACAGTAGATATCATATCTGTGACATTTCATAGATTTCACGGGACAAAAACAAAGAGAAATGATTAACACAGGCCACATTCACACATACTAAATTGAAATGATAATTTCCTCACCAACAAACTTCAACGTCCGTGGTTGAATCTCCAAAAGTGGCATATTCATGATGCTATGACGCAAAAGCTGTATCAGGTCCCCTTTTTCGCCCTACATCAACAACAAAACCTTTGAGGAAGGCATAAAGATCTATTGGATCCTAACCTATAAACTATTAACAATCAAAAACGAAAAAACACTTGTTTATTGTTTCCACTTTAGGTGATCATTGCATCAAATAGGTTTAGATTAAAAACTTCTCTCCACTGGAGACAATTAAGGTACCAAATGAGCCACAACACGAAGAAAAAATTGAAATCTAGAGAATATAAACGTCAAATAGAATTGATTTACAATAACTTAGATGTTAGAACTTGAAGCAGATTCTATCCTGTAGCCCCGTATCTAGGTGAGGGATTCACCCCAAAAAAAAAGTACCGGAATGAGAGATTCTTCCTGTAAATCAGCACCTAATGAGATCCCAACTTGTTCCAAAAGGTGTCATGAGAAACCAAAAATATGCATCCACCCAAATTCATCAAACTCGATGCGGGAATCAACATGCTCTTCGATTCAGAATCGAAATTACAGAGAACAATAAACTAGACGGAGGCCAGAAAACATTAAAAAGGAAGAGAGAAGAAGTCAAAATCAGATGCACGTTTGCAGATGATTCCTTCGTTACTCTAAGTAGCCTACTACGATATCCATTCACACTCTCACTTTACTTTCTAACAAGAAAGGATCGCTTGCGCATCTCATCAACGATTCGTTTCTCATATCAGATCGCTCAAACTCGCCGGAAAACCAAAATCAAAATTGTTTCACCTTTATCTCTACGGACAGCAGCAAATCAACATAGTACCTTGTCAGCCAAGTGTTCCCTAGTCACCGGAGAATCAAAACTGCAGCAGTTCCGGCGACCAGAGCGACCACGATCTAACTATTTTCCCCAGTTTCTAAAGTTACACACCAACGGGAAAACGACAACGTTTGGAGAAGCAACTCCTCGGGAAACGAGCGCGAATTACGACTCGGATCACATGGATCTTCCAGAACGCAAGTGATTTCAATTCTCGAGCAAATCGCGAGAAGAAAACGCGTAAAAAAAACCAAACACGCAGAAAAAAACCCTAATCGAAGCGCATGAAGACGACCAAAGGAACTCGACGAATCAGAAGGAAAAATTCTTACCGGATTCGACGAAGACGATCCACGGAAACTTTAAATGCTGGAGAATCAGTCAAGATGAAGTGTATGTACGTACGCATACACACACACACGAACGCATATAGAGATCGAGACAGAGAGGGTTTTCTATGCAAAATCTGAAATCTGAAAGCAAAAGTATGGTTATGTGATAGAGATGGTGAGCATTTGTTGTACCTAACGATAAATATTAAAAAAAAAAATCTTATTGAGAGAAAAGGAAATTTTATTGTAACGTTTTCTTTTTAAATTTGTAGATGTAATTGTAAGAGAGCATTTAATAATTATGTTTGTATTTAATAAAGAAATAAATAAGAGAGATTACGATTAATTAAATTTGTTAATTAATTTGTCAATTCGATTACCTTTTAAGACGATTACACGCGTGGTTGTGGATTCTGATCACCAAACGCTTTGCTCCCTCTTTTATTTAATTTATTTTAATATTTTCACCTTTATATTTTATATTTTATTTAAATCAATAACAAAAAATTGTAATTTTAACAAAACATCTATTTTAAAACTTCAGTTATTAATCAATCTAAACAAATATCAATCTTTTAAAAAATTCAATGATTTAAAAAATATTCATTTAAAATATCAAACATCCAAACACCTAAAAAAATATTCAATTTAAGAAACATCAAATTCAAAACTCTAATTATCAATAAATCCAAAAAAAATGTTATTTAAAAAATAACTTAAAAATCGATTTAAAATATCAATCGTCCATAATCTAACTTACCAAAAAATCACATTAAATACCAAAAACTAAGTTCATGTTGAGATTGTGTGAATTCAATATTTATGAGAAATAAAAAGTATTCAAAATTTATATCCAACATTTATTATTCTCTTAATATAGCATGGTTTGTATTATTCTCTGTGTTTGTATTTAATACAAACATTAAAGTTGGATGAGCAGTCGACGTAGAACCGGAAATTACGTGAAAAAAGAATTAAAAAAATTGAAGCAGGTGGCAACCAAATTGCCACCATAACTTCCTCATATAATATATATATATATATATATATATAATTCTATTCGTTGCAAATCATGAAAAAATTATTAAACGTGAAATCTTAGACAAGGAATTAGTTAACAATCTCAGATAAAAAGTTTACAATAAATAAAAGTGTATGGTACAGTGATTCTAATTATTATCCATTTTATAAAGGTTATGTATTTGAAATATATTTTTAAGGAACAAATAATTTTTACCAAACACATGAATATAGATTCATAATTTATTTTAACAATATTATCAGTTGAAATACTTACCAACAGGGTTATCTGTATTTTGAGTGAAATTGATTTATAATTTATAATAATAATGTTTAGAAACCCAAAAATAAAGTCAATCAAGATGTTAGGATAGATATTTCCTATCGATCATGTGAAATGAAACCGACCCAATATAACCAAATCCAAGTATAACTAACTATATTTAAATATCCATTCAACAGCCTAAAAAACAAATTTTTAATAAAAACATATTTTATTTCTAAATTCGAATAGAAATAAATTTTCGAATTAAAATTGAATGATATAATTGTTTTCAAAATTAACTAATCGGATTTGAAAATGTGGACAAATGGCCAAGAGTTCACAAATTCCAAGTTGTGCCGAAACAATCACAACTAGGGCTAGACGTTTCGGTTCGAATCGAACCGAAAAACGGTATTTTTTCCAACCCGAAACCGTTTTTAATTTCCGAACTTGTAAACACATGGCTCGTCTTCATTCTGACGGATTGATCTAGTTTTTTTTTTAGGTTGAATAAATATGTTTTCCGCTTAAATTGACCCCAAATTCTGACAAACGACAACGCGGGACTATGTTCTGTAGGTATGCGTTAATGGAGTTGATACTATTTTTAGAGAACCGAATTTTTCCATAACTAAATCGAACTGAACCGAAATTTAAAAATTCCGAAAAACCGAATATTTTTAAAGAAAATCTATCCTTTTTTTAATAAAACCCGAAACCGATACCGAAACTGAACCGAATACAATATAAAAACCGATTGATACTTATTTTTGTAAAACCGAAAGAATGGAACCGATCAATTCCGGTCCCGAACCCAAACCGTTTCCCGAAATATCTACCCTGATCACACCCCAAATTATTAGAAAGGTGATAAATTTTGTAACTTTTTTGGGCCACTCTACAAATTCCGATTTTAAAAACCAAAAAAAAAAGTTTTAAAATAAATAAATAAAAATTCGTCAACCCGTCTGCGTTCAGTCACCCACCAACCTGAAAGGGTTCTGCCCTTCTTTGGAATCTCAGAAAACCCATACTCTATAAAAGCCTCTCTCCCTCTCCCTGGAATCTCACTCTGAACCCTCTTCGTCTTCTTCGCCCTCTCTCCCTCTCTCCGCCAAATCCCTCTGTTTCCGTGATCATCTCTCTCTCGAGGATCCATGGCTTCCGTCGCTCGTGCATCGACTTCCATGCAGGCCCGCCCTTTCCAAATGGTATACGTCTCTCTCCCTTTATCTCCCGTTCATCATGAATACCGAACGTTTCCGATGTGTTTTCTTTTTCATGCTCTTCGGCCGTGTATAATTTCACCATTGCGTATTTGGATCTGTTTGGTTCTGGTAATCTTGATCTAGCTGTCTGATTTCGTGTCATTTTTAAGATGTTGTCTGATTTTGCGTTCTCGGTTCATGTGATGTTTTTTTTTTCTCGTTGCCGTGCCGCTAGTTCTTCTGTTCTTGTCCTGCTGAGAATCTCACTCTGAACCCTCTTCGTCTTCTTCGCCCTCTCTCCCTCTCTCCGCCAAATCCCTCTGTTTCCGTGATCATCTCTCTCTCGAGGATCCATGGCTTCCGTCGCTCGTGCATCGACTTCCATGCAGGCCCGCCCTTTCCAAATGGTATACGTCTCTCTCCCTTTATCTCCCGTTCATCATGAATACCGAACGTTTCCGATGTGTTTTCTTTTTCATGCTCTTCGGCCGTGTATAATTTCACCATTGCGTATTTGGATCTGTTTGGTTCTGGTAATCTTGATCTAGCTGTCTGATTTCGTGTCATTTTTAAGATGTTGTCTGATTTTGCGTTCTCGGTTCATGTGATGTTTTTTTTTTCTCGTTGCCGTGCCGCTAGTTCTTCTGTTCTTGGCCTGCTGAAACTCTGGACACATTGATGTGAATATTTCCATCTTAATTTGCTTTGTTTCTGGGTTCATTGTTTCTCTCCCATTTAAACCTTTATCTCTGTTTAACTCAGCAGAAATTATAGGTCTCAATCGAAGATTATTTGACTTTGCTCATATCTTTGGACAATGTGATCTTAAGTTTCACCTGTATCTGAATCTTCAGTAGCTGTGAATATAAGTTTATAGGTGCATTGATTGATATTGTTGAGTATGATGAACAGGCAATGGCCATGAAGCCGGTTACAGGTTTTAGCCAGGGAAGGAGCAGTCTCTCTTTCAGGTTTCGGCCGTCACCTGCCCGGTTGACGTTCTCTTGTCCTGTAAGCTCCATTGTTCTAGCTTCTTATTGTGTTCACTTTTTATCTTTCCTATGGCTTACGGTTAGAGCTTTAATCCAGGAAATGGTAATGATTTTCGCTGATTTGAGTTTAGGCTCCGGTAAATTTGGCCTTTGGAATGTTATTGGGTTGATATGATATTAGAGGAACCTGGTTGATTGCATGAAAAATGTTTAAAGAAACTGAGTTGCAGGTACACTAGATTGATATACATGTTCTTTGATTTTCATTGAAGCAGGCAAAGCCTGAGACAGTGGAGAAGGTATGCGAAATCGTCAGGAAGCAGCTCTCGCTGGATGATTCGGAACAAGTCACGGCCGGAACCAAGTTTTCCGAGCTCGGGGCCGATTCCCTTGACACGGTAATCTTGAAAACGTTAGAGCGGGATTATGATTTCGCAAGATTTATGTTGTATAACCGCCCCTGAAAGTGGACCAAAATATGCAGTCTATGAAAGCTTAGCTATTTACGGACGAACAGAAATGGATCTAGTGAATGACAATCATGAAGCAAACCCTTTTTCGGGTTTGGTTTTTTGGTAGTGAAACTGCTTGACGAATCTCAGGTGGAGATCGTGATGGGTCTGGAGGAAGAGTTTGGGATAAACATGGCCGAGGAGAAAGCTCAGGCGATCGCCACCATCGGACAAGCTGCGGATGCCATCGAGGACCTCGTCAATGACAAGGCTAACTAAAGATGCCGAACAGGGATTTGTTCTTATAGGTTTGGTTAAGCTATGGAGATACCTCTCTCTCTAAAGGAGGGTTGTTGCTGAAACATAAATGCTATGATTAGTGGGTAAACTTTTGAATTTTGATTAATTGTGTTATTAGATTTCGATATCTTTTTGGGATTTCAATTATTACATTGGTGACGTTGTAAATTCTGCGATTATTATGTGATTTAACGAATCAATCGGCGAGGTGGAAATGGTTTGGAGGAAAATTAGCCAAATTATAATGCCGTCTTGATTAGGATGTGTTTTCAATAAATAGTTCTCTATAACCACGAAAATTATAAAAGTACATTGAATAATAACCAAATTTAATTACAAATTTTAATACGTCATCAGTTTTAGATAGGATTTGATTAAATGATTAAAAAAATTAGTCGAAGAGAATTTGTGATTCTTAAAGAAGTTTGGGGTGTTTATCGAAACGTTTCAGTAATATTGGGGTCTGTATATGATACTCAGGCCTGTAAACTGTAAAGTAAGTAAACGAATGGCCAAAAGATGTCCTTCGTCTATATAATACAAATCACTGATTAAAGATTCTAAGGCTTTTTCATTTTAGCAGTGGATTCTCTCTCTCTCTCTTTCTCTCTCTCTTCAGGGGTGTTCTGAGGTGCGTTTAGATTCATCCTCTCCCTTACTAGCACTTTCTGGATTTTGATCTTTGCACGATCTGATTCTGTTGAATTTGGATGAGACTTATCTTTGCGATTTGACCTTTTTATTGGGGTCTTTGTTCAAAGTTCGAAGAGATCGATCGATCTTCGATCATATGGTTAGATTTGATGGTTTTCGGGTTTGATCGTTGCCGACACTTGGTTCTTAATCTGCGTCAAGGTTGGAAGTTGTTGAGGCTAGTCCATTGTGATTCGTGAGCCACCAATTTTGACTAACCAGAGTCAATACGCCATTAAGGCTGAGAAAGAGGTTCATGGTCCCAAGTTGTGATTACAAGTTTCGTTTAGTTTTCGTCGGTGTCGAAGTAGTTTGATTGGGTTAGGTGTTCACAACCCGAGATTTTCTTGGGTTTGTCTTTGTTTTGATTGTTGTATCGTTGTTGATCTGTTGATTCATGTACTGTTCTTGCTCTTTAACCTAATCTGTGACTACGTTAATTCTCCATGTCAGAGGAATTTGTTCTTTTTTCATCTTGGAGGAGTTTGGTTGTGAAAACGTATATGTATGTATACTTTGATATGAATGTTCCAGGTGGATTTAAAAGTTTTGTCCTTTTCAGATCACAAAGCAGTTTCAAAATGGTGAAGGCAGTCGCAGTTTTAAGCTGCAGTGAGGGTGTGAAAGGAACTATTAACTTCACGCAGGAAGGAGATGGTGAATTAAACTGTGCTCATAGATTTCAATTCTTGTCGTTTTCGAATGATTCATGTTCTTGTCTTGGTTAATCTTTTGGACCATTTGGTTTGCAGGCCCGACAACTGTGACTGGAAATGTTTCTGGACTTAAGCCTGGCCTCCATGGTTTCCATGTCCATGCTCTCGGGGATACTACTAATGGTTGCATGTCAACTGGTACTATTCGATAGCCTTGATGTTGTATCTTATTTGGTTCAATGAGTGTGATGGTTTTTCCTACTAGGACTTGGAATTTTCCAGCCAAATTTGTTTTGTTTGACAGGAACTCACAAAAGAAGGATTAAAACTATGATTTTAGTATTTTCTCCCAGAAGATAGGAACCTTAAGTTTCGAGTTCTTGTGTTTTTCCAGGGTTACAGACATGTATGTATTGTCTTAAATGGATGCATGTGTTATCCTTACACCATTCAATGTTTCCAAACTTTGAAACTCCTAGCACCTTGGATTGTTTGGAACTTTTTCAAGTTCCTCATTCGAATGGATTTGGGTATGCTTAAATCTCTTGATCAATCTCCATTTTCAGGTCCGCATTTCAATCCTGCTGGTAAAGAGCATGGTGCACCTGATGACGGAAACCGTCATGCTGGTGATCTTGGAAACATTACCGTTGGAGATGACGGTATTTTTTTTTCTTTTCTCTACCTTGTTCCTCCAACCTCAAGCTTATGAGGTCTTTTACATGTGGCTAATCTTCAATGGGATTCTCATGTCATTTTTTTGTGCCTTTGCAACCTCGCCGAGTGAGGTATTTTTATGGGTTAACAGAAAATTTCATATTTCGTTTATTTCAGGAACAGCTAACTTCACGATTGTGGACAGTCAGGTTTGTCAATCGTGTTCTGTTACATGCTCTCCAATTTTCTTTCCTGAAAACCTGGTTCAGCTACGGTGAGAAAAATCTCTTACAAGGCAGTTGTGTTTTCTTTCTCAGATTCCTCTTGCTGGACCAAACTCGATCATAGGAAGGGCTGTTGTTGTCCATGCTGATCCCGATGATCTCGGAAAGGGTAAACATCTCTCTGCAGTTCCCTGCCAAATCTGCAGCTACACTATCATTATTTCACATTGGACAATGCTTGTGACCTAATATCCTGAGACCGCTATCTAACGGAAGACTTATTTGTTTTCTATTTCCAGGTGGCCATGAACTCAGCAAGTCAACTGGAAACGCCGGTGGCCGTGTTGCCTGTGGTAAGTGAATATACACACCTCTTTTGCCCTTGGTTTCCTTGAAATCATATCATATCTCAACTCAAATTGGAAATGGATTCTGTATTTGTGCTTCACCCGAATTCTTTGCCATTGTCGATCAATCTGATAAGCCCACGGGACATGAGCTTTCGATCTTCACGTCATAGAAATCCTAGTTAGTCTAATAACATGAGGTTTCATCTGGGAAAACATATGTATCTAAATTAAATCGATGTCTCAGATTGCAATATTTCCTATAGGACATGGGTCACACAATTGTATGCTTCACCCATTGACTGTGGTTCCAAACAGACAACAGCCGCATCTTAAGCCTTATCTAGTCACTCTGGAGAATTCTTCTTACCCTTGAATCCCATTTGTTTTTACAAAATGATTTCATCTTGTTTATGATTTCACCTTCCTCCTACCATTGTTGCAGGTATTATTGGTCTTCAGGGCTGAAGCCATAATTCGGAGCAAGTGATGATTCCTGAATAAAAAGATCGGAACTTTTATTGAATTCTCTGTTGACTTCTGAATCTATCCTTGGATTTGCACCGTCTATGATACATCTGTTTTGTTTATTATGGAACGAGCTCTTCTTCTACATATACCATATTAGCCTCTAGATTATTATTATTATTATTATAAGCAGGTTACTTTTGTAAGAAATTTAGAGGAAACCATTAGGGGTGGCAAAAAAACCCGAATTTCAGGTACGAGATCGGATAATGATATTAGAATACCTGAATTTTTGGATTCAGATTCGGATTCGGATAATTGATATTATTTTATGGGTATTCACGGTCACGGAAATGTGGATAATACAAAATTACTTTACATTTTAAAATTTATAATTTATAACTAGTTTTTATATTATATTATTTTATATTATATTATTTGATGGTAATGATTATATAGATATTATTGGATATATTTATGTTGTAATTTAAAAAAAAATGAGTTTATTTTGGATGTAAATATGATATAAATTGATTTTGAATTATTTTATATATATATATATTTAAAAAAATAATTGAAAATAATTAAAGATATTATCAAATTCGGATATTCGATAATTATTGCATGGATTTTTAAGTTTGGATATCCAATTTTGCGGATACGAGTTTGGATAATAAAATAAAAAACCCGTCAAATTTTCGGACATGTCCACCTCTAAATCCCATAAATAGCGTGGCACAATAATTAAAAAGAATTCGGAGACATTTTATTTTAAGCATAAAAGAACACGATCTGATTCTGGACAATTATCTGATCACTGATGAGTAACAATCTAATTAAAGAAAAGACCATATTAAAAAAAATTAGCAACCCAAAAAGAAAACACTCGTGGGATTGAGCTCAAACCCAATCGACCCCAAAAAAAATCATGCTAACAAAACCAAGGCAAGCACCAAGGCCGAGGGCTTGAAGCGGGCGGCAATGGCGATGTGACCAGGATATCAAACCTCTGTCCGGCATGACAATGGCCAGGAGCTCCGCACACGAAGTAGTACCGACCCGGACGCGTCAGGTTAACCACGTCATTACCGGTCTTGTATCTCGCCGTAGCGGAAGACATGTCGCAGAACTCGAACCCTAATGGACTGGCGAGTTCCGTCACGTCGTGGAAGTTCTTGTCGTAGGCGAAGAGAAGAGAGTCACCGACTTGGAAGTGCCGTGAAGTGACCCAGTCGTAGTAGTCCACGCCGGGTGCCCATCCCTCCGAGCCACCGACCTTGTGGGTCATCCCCATGCAGCCCGCGATGAGAGTCGCGGCCACGAGCGTGAAGAGACAGATGATTGCGTTCTTTGTTACCGCCATTTTGATCTCTTTTTCGAGGGATGGAAAGTTTTGTGTGAAGTGAGAAGCTTTGAAGGATCCTTGTGGGTGTTTATATAGGGGTTCTGATGATGAGTTCACGTAATCCTTTTCCCTCTAGGATTTGTTATAGTGAATGGAAATTTATTTTCCTCGTTGTGCATGGATTCCTTTTATTTATAGATTTTGTTAATTTTTCCTTTTTTATCAGTTAATATTTCCTTTTATTTAAAATATTTGATATGGTCAATTGTTTTTTTTTCATCAAAGAATCATTAAGAAAACCTAAGTCACAGATCTAACTTTGCCACCGAAATCATCGGATCAGAGATAATATGGCATATGATCAAACTATAGCAAAGAAGTTTCCCTTTTTTTAAAAAAAAATTATATCTATTTAGGTTCTATATGATTTTATTAAATTTATTTTAGTTCAGTTTAATTTCAAATCGCTTTAGATTCTCGTTTTGTTAAAATAATAACTCATATCTAAAGATATTATTATTTTTTTATATTTACAAATTCAATTCACATTCAATTGTGTCATTTATTATATTCAAACAGTTTTATAAATAAGTTTGATTCAAGTAACATTATAAGTTATTCAGTTTGATTGGATTATTTGTAATTGAACCGAAATTGGAATCAATGCATGTGTTGTGATAATTAAACAAATAATGGGGTTTATTTAAATTTTTTAAAAACCTTAGACCACTATTTAGTGAATTTCAAGAAATACTACTCGCAGCCCAATATTCTGTTTGTTGCAAATTCAGTCCCGGAAAAGTTAATTCATTTTAGTCTTGGGAGGAAATTTCGGTTTGGTAATTAAAAGTCGAAGACAATTTATACAAAACGTATTCTTAATTGTTTGCTCATGATTTTCTTTTCGCATAACATTTGGAAACTGAAAAATTAAAAGAATATCCTCGATCCCTCACCTCTTCTCTTTCTCGATATCGATTCCAATTGTTAAACCATCGGAATTTCTATCTCGAATTCGCCGGCGACTTCATCGGTAATTTCTCTCGCTCTCTCGCGGTACTTGTATCTGGTCGTTCATCGGATCGGTTTTTTTTCTTTACTCACTGGCTTGTGGAGGAGACCATTTGTCTAATCAATTGCATTCAGAGCTTTGAATTATGTTCGGTTTCTGGGGTTTTTCTTTGTTCTATGTTGTGGTGTTCAGACCGGTTTGTGTTCAAGCTTCTGAGCTGATAATTTGGTCGTGATCATTCTCTGTTGTGCTTGTGTGTCTCAGATTCGTTTATGTTCATGCTTCTGAGTCGATATCGATAATTTGGTCGAGATTATTCTGTGTTGTGTTCTTTGTGAGTTTCAAATTCGTCCATTTGGTCACATTTGGTTTCTTGGTTTGCAAAATCAACAGCTTCCCAGGTGCTACAGATAGTCTGTTTGTTCGAGTCGATGAAGCTGCGTGATTGCAGTTTTTTTGGCTTTGAGCTGGTTCGAATCAATGTGTTTTCGGTCTTATAGAAATCCATGTGATTTCTTGAAGAAATGTGATTCTATTTTCGGAAAAGTCACTTGGAGTTTGATCATAGGATCAAAATTTTCTTGAATCAGAATATCGTGGAGTCAATTACTTTTGTCTTCTGTGTCTGCTTTTGTGAGCAGCCAAGATCTTGTTTTTGTTGCAACCATTTGTGTTGTCTTGTTTCTGTTTTTTTTCCCGGATTTTGAGTTTTCAGGCTTGCTGCTTGTAAAAATGTGTGATTTCTTGGCCTTTAGGCCTATATATTGATGCAAACGTTTCTCTCACCATCTCGTTTTGGTGAGTCTGCATTTGCTGATGCTGGTCAAATCTGTAGAAAACTGTTAGCAATTTTTCTGCTTTGTGGATACTGTAACCTTCACCAGGATCATCTGTTTTTTTTTGTGTGTACCGAAGATGGGATGCATTGGAATTAGCCAAAGGGAGAGGACATGTGCCTATTGTTCTCTTGGTTAAAAGTAAAGATTAGGTTTTGTTGTCCTCCCTAAAGTTGTCTGGATTCATTGAGGCAACACTAATGGGTCATGGCTTATGCTAGTGTCTTTTGGCTAAAACATGTTCCATAAGGAGGAATAAAAATATTTGTGGCAGTTGTGATATATATAAATTCCTAAAACATGAAGCTTATGTTCCAAATCTTATAGGATCTCTGCATAAGCATTTCTGAGGTCGTATGCCTCCAGTCGAACCTTAACTCATTCGTCATTGGGACCTAAATATTTAGATGGCCTTTTCTATGGGGATTTGTGTTGAAATATTCCATTACATATGTTCTATTGTTGAGGCTTCAACTCTTACAAAAATCACTCATAAAACTCTGTATAAGCGTTCATGCCCATTCGTGATTGGGACCTAAGCATGTAATCACCCTTTTATATGTGGGCATGTGCTGAAATATCCCACTACATATGTTTTATTGTCAAGGCTTCAACCTTACAAGAATCTCTGCATAAGCGGTCGTGAGGTTGCATGCTCCAGTTGAACCCTAACTCTTTCATGATTGTGACTTAAGTATGTAGCTGCTCTTTTATATCTGAGCTTATGTTGAAATATTCCCCTAGATATGTTTTGTTATCGTAGCTTCAATGTTAACATTCTATAGTTTCCTCCTCGTACCATGGTGCTTCATGAACATTCTCCACTAATATTGGTGCTATCATGCCACTTGGTAACAAGGTATCCGTTACAGAATGTGGCACCTAATTTAAGCCTTGCCTGCAGGAATTGGTATGTTAGGACCTGCATAGTAGTTAAAAATGGAGCTATGAAGTTCTAAGGACACTGAGAATGTAAAAGCTCTTGAAGCCTCGGTGGTCGAAAAGAATAAAGAAGATAAGGATAGAGAAGTGGCAGCGGATACTGGTAAGAATAAGAATGAGGTTAATGAAATCGCTGTTGGAGGAATGGAGGGAATCCTGAGGTTTGGAGAGGCCTTAATGGATGAAACACAAGAGGAAAACGTCTCAGAAACCTTGGAAGAGAAAAATAGAATGGCTTCTAAGGAAGTTCAATCCTCTTCAAAGAAAACGCCAAGAGTAACCTCTGCGAAAACTAAAACTGTTGAAAAGCCTGCAAGAAAGTTATTAAAAAGGAAAACTGTAGCAGGTACACCTTCTGTTAAAGATGATGCCGATCAGGATTTAACAGCAGCAGTTAATGAGGAAGATGAAAAAGCTGATAATGCTTCTTTTGGAGGAAATAGCGTGGAACTGAAGAAGGTTATAGACGGTTCTGCAGAAGATTCTCAACCTTGTGCAGTAGATGAAATAGACGCAGAGCCTTCACTTTTGGGAAATGTTATGGATGATGTGAAGGTTACAGAGGGTTCTGCAGAAGATGAAAAAGTTGCAGAAAAGAAAAGCTCAAAGGGGTTAAAAGAAGAGACTAAAATTGTGAAAACTCGTCGAAAGAGGTTACGAAAGGGAAAAAAATTAAAAGGCACTCCACCTTCTCAAGGAGTGCATAAGGAGGGAGAGACCATGTTACACGGAAGTAACGAAGGCATTGATCTGGATATGGTAGTGACAGATAACAAGGTGGGCAAAAAAAATGCTGAAGCTTCACCTGGAGGAAATGGGAAGAAATTTGAGAAAGTTATCGGAGATGCTCCTGCACTTACGAAATCAGCGATGAGAAGACTATTAAAACGGCTCAGCAGAAATGTCAATAAGACAAGGAAGAAGAAGAAGAAGGACACAAACCCTGGTGGATTGATCTTCATGTGCAATGCAATGACCAAACCTGATTGTTTTCGCTTTGGTGTGATGGGCGTATCAGAAAAAAATAAGGATTTTGTCATGGGTATCAAACCTGGGCGTAAGCTTTTTCTCTATGATTATGATCTGAAGCTTCTATATGGAATTTTCGTAGCATCGTCACTGGGTGGACTGAACATTGAGCGTAAAGCCTTTGGAGGATCCTACCCTGCCCAGGTTACTTAGGATTTTAACGATGTTTAGTCTTCCAACTCCACTCCCACACCTAATATTCAGGATGATATGAGTTCCTCTTTTACTTCTAATTCTATACCAGTTTTTTAACAGATACATCCGCTTGATTTTCTTTCCATTCCAGGTGAGGTTTAAGGTTTTACAGGATTGCGAACCATTGCCCGAGAGCATATTCCGGAAAGCCATCAAGCAAAATTACGATGACAAAAACAAGTTCAAAACAGAGCTGACTCCTGTGCAGGTAAACTGTTCTTCCTTTCATACTTCTGCCATCTGTATCAGACAATGCATCTAATCTCTCTTTTCTTTTGCTATCCGTTATTGTTCACAGGTATTCCAGCTCAGGAAGCTTTTCTGTCCAGCTGAGGTTCCTTTTACCGCACAACTGACCGACGCACAGCCCATCCCAGTTGATTTTGATGCTGATAGAAAACGATCTGATAAAGACCGTTCTGCTGCTGGCAGCCACAGAGCTCGCACAACTCATAGTCATGAAGGCCGTGGACCATTCCTCACAGAGAACCACGTGATTTATATCTTACCGAGAGAGAGTACCAGGCCTATGGGGTTGGAAGAGGACAGACAAGCCACCATTACCCTATTCCTCCTGGTCATTCGTACTGTACCATGGATGGATATCATGTTGCTTCGGATTCTTACCATCCGAATTTGGACCGTGACCATCTCTTGAGGCATGCGGACATAGAAAGGTACAATCACCGAGAACCCCTTTACTTCGATCCACTCTATTTACCACAGAGAGACTACTACTCGCATGATCATCGGCGTGAAATCCTTATTCCACATCCTCAAATCCCGATCAACCCACCCCTCCCAACCCTTGCTCCAGAATCCTATGCTAGAGACCCGTACTACAGCTACGGCTACCACCCTCCTGTCGCTGAAAGACCATCGAGAGCATATCCGCTTTCTCCAGGAAGAAACGATGCACTTTATGCGCGATATGCAACTGTTGATTCACTGGCTGAGTACTACCAAGCCCAGAGATACCCTGGTCTGGCTCATCCTGCGCTTCCACCTCCATCAGGGTATCCATACAGTGGTTCGTACTCCTACCCTTACCGCTAAACTCGAGGTCTGTAATATCTCAT